AGTATTGCAGCATGATAACAGAAAAAAAAATATAAAAAATAATTAATATTTATAAAACAGTCATTATGCAGTTACAAAAGAAATATATATTCATAAAAGAAACAAACATGTGCTGTTGCAATTAATAGATATCCAGTTGGAGCTTGACTGTTAAAGACAGCTTTTGACAAACTTTAACAATGTTTTAAAAAGCAGTTCTTGTAACGACAAAATGTGTGCAGATTTTTCATTAATCATATAATAGATCAACAAAGGAAAAATGACTAAAACCATTTAATTTATTCTGATTACAATTTATCTGTTTTGCTATACTACAGAAACAAAATAAACCAACCAGGTTTGTTTTCGTTTGTAGAATTTCTTTAACTCTACCTACCTAAAACATTCCCAACAGTGTGTTTATTTGCAGTATAATAAGCATAAAAAACTTGTGTAGCTCATCTGTAACTCATGCCAGAAGGGCACAAACTGCAAGGCCCACCTCAAGGACGAACACATGTGTTACAGACCAAACTGCAATACCCCTGAATATTCAGCAAGAAATCATCTATTTCAAGTATAGACTTGAGATAAACTCATTACCACATCAAAGTGAGGTTTTAAATATGAATCCATACATATGTGTTTCTGCTTAAGTCATGCTAAAGATCAAAAGGAATCATCAAGTCTGTTCTACAAATGTTTTTCACTTTCCCTTCTAGATCCTGTGCACTGATGTCAAGCAAGATAATTTTTAGCATAGTGGCTGTAATTGAACAGAGTTATAATATCATCTTAAAATAATGCTTTCTAGATCACAAATGTCACTGTCCTTGGATCCATCCTGGACAAACTGAAGCCCGCTCTCTTCCTTTGGTAGGTGAAAGTCACTGATGTTAGTAGGAACAGCCAGCATGGGTTTGTGGTCTAAAGCAGGGAGAGAATTATTACCATCAATGATTTAGTTGAAATATGACATTATTTCCTTGCTGCATACCTACGCATTCGATAATAAACATCACACATTTCATTGCTGCCACCCCCATTTTCCACTTCACTTCCACTTCATTTTCCATTTTCCAAGTCACAGGAGTTTTCTGATTTGATCACCAAAATGCAAAATTTTAGGCGAACAAAGGCAGATTTATTGTAAACATTTCACTCCTGTGAAATAGAAACATCAGAGAGGAGTCGATCCAAAGGAGAAGGTGTTGCTGCACGTAAAAACAATTGTTCATTAGTGACTTTCCATGTAACTAAAGTATAATAAACTGAGCTCCATCCATTGCCTTACAGATGTTCTATAGTGCAATTTGTTTTAAACAAATAAGTGGCATAACCTTAATCACTTTTCATAGTGAGAAATGGGAGCAAGATAAGCAGACTTTGACGTTTTTGACAGAAGGACATCATGGCTAGAGTTTGACTATCCATCAGCTTTGTAACTGTATTAAAGGCTTTATCACAATATGCTCAACTTTTTTTCAAAAAAGTTATGTGACTTTTAAGACTAACCTTTAATTATTATTAACTTAATGAGAGGTTTGGTTATTTTAATATTCCCAAACCAGACTTAAAACATGTCCAGCTTAATTGAGGGTTTTTTTGCCCTGTAGTGGACACCATGCACACAAGGGTTTGAATGTCTTTAATGTAAGACACAACTCATCCATCCATCCATCCATCCATCCATCCATCCATCCATCCATCCATCCATCCATCCATCCATTTTTCCTCTTGCTTATCCAAGAAGTGGGCACAGCTAACAGATATATTTATAAAAACTTCCCACTTTATAAACTACATTAATGCAACTGTTAATTTGTGCTACAGAATTTTTGTATTTATGTGTTTGACTAAATCTGCCTTAGAGGATTTCTAAAAAGAAGAAGAAGAAAAGGAGTGTCACATGTGCACAATTTAACTGAGTACATCCTGATTCTGCTCTTATAGGCTATCAGATTATATTCCAATGTAAATCAATATTTTTTCAGTAAACTGGCATATATATAGTACAGTGATGATCATAATATCACTATAGCATGATGTTCACTACAGTTGCATTTTTCACTCCTGTCAAAGATGTTGTGAACTTGTGAGAAGTGTCCCTCTGGACAGACTTTGCAGGCAAATATTATAGTGTCCAGTAATTGACTACTATAGTAGTTGTAGTGCATTAAAGTTCTATAGCCAACTGCCACAGTGGGAATTTAGATGAGTCCTTTTATCTGATGATCTCCATTTGAATCTTTTTTTTCTACTGTTGATACGTCACAAAAATATATGAAAATAATTCTGGGAAGTTCCCCTTATGATGGTATTTTTTAAAAAGAGCAGTAGCAGTGATATTTAGGTTGAGTCACATCAATTTCTTCTGTTAATGAATACTTATTTTGATTGTTTAAATGCCACATGTGGTTTTCGGAAGGAAATCTGCCCATGCCAGTGATTCCACTTTGACATACTGATATGATTTTCCATGAACTTACTTGCTGTGTGAATCCTTAGGTACTTTATACATGTGTAGGACATGAACAGAAAGAGGCTGAGAGACAGTAAAATGACACTAATGCCAAGGATCATATGAATGAAGTCTCCACCGTCTTTGGGCCCTGGTGAAAAGTCAAATCATAGTTAAGTTTCTTGATTGCAGCATATTGTCACTATGTTCTGTTGTCGTGTATCACAAGTGTTACATGCTGAGCAATCAACAAATTACAGCCTGTGTCAATAAAATGTGTGAATGTGTGTACATACCGGGTCTGTCACAAATTGAGTTGTGTGTCCTGTTCCCTGGAAACCTTTCAGGAAACCCCAGCACGCTGCACCTGTTTAGCACAAAGCTTTTACATCACTGGCATGTTCACAACTTCTTTTACTTATCACTGCAGCAGAAGCTGTTTAAATCGATCTTACTGTGTCAGTGGTTTGCAGTCATTCGTTTGCACATCGAAATATTGTTTTTCGCCACATATGGCTTCACACTGATACGAATATTCTATCACCCTTGCATTCGAGGAGACGACTGGAACAAAAGAAAGAAATACTATTTCAGTAAACATGAAAGATACTTTTGGGGGGGACATTTGTGGTTATAGGGTGACAGATTTTGTCAGCTTTGGTGATCCTGTGACTTATCGTCAGTTTCCGCCGTGAGGGCAGTCATGAGTCTAGTGATGAGGTTTTATGAGTATATATCTGATGACATATAGTAAGGACTGCAGCTTAAGACAAAAGGGAACTGAGCATTCACTCTTTGCTAAACACTCTTGACATTATGAACAGCTCCTCCTTCACCTGATCAGTAGGCTCAGGTTGAACAGCAGATGTGGAATAAAATTACAAATTAAAAAAAATTCTTTCACATGGATCTGTTTTAATCATGTAATAATAAACATGTCTTGACTTTTAAGGGATTAATCTAAATATCTACAATTACACAGATGCACTAGTCAAACCAGTGTTTGTGGCAGGATATATATTTTACTCGCAGCTGTAAAAACTCAAAATGTCCATTCTTACCTGTCCTTTTTTGTTTCTCTCCTGTGACGCATTTGTCTTTCACACAAGTCGAACAGATGCTGTTGGAGCACAGGAAACCAGCGGCACAACTACAGGTTGCATTTGTGGTTGATGTACATTTCACAGCATAATCTGTAGACAGACAAGAATTGAAACCACTGAATTCAACACAATATTTCATCTTTTGCTAGTTCTGGTAAATGCCTTCTCAGCTTCTCTCAACTTACGCTGACATGTCTGACATTTTTCACATCTGTCAAAGAGGTTGGGAAGTTGTGAGAAATATCCGTCTGGACAGGCTTTGCAGGCAGTTTGTTGTCTGTCAGAGCAAAACTCTTCTACATACGTGCCTTTAAAACCAGGAAAAAGTTAAAATCAGCGACTTTCAGTATTTTTCAGTATTCTTGAACAAAAAAGTTCAGCTTAAACACATAATCTGATCATTACATCAAACAGATCACTACTGTAATAATTAGATCAAACTAATCAAAACATTAGATTGAAAGACACTCATCTGATTTTTAAAAAAGTTTGGTTTTTTTTTACCTGGGGGACACTTGTTACAACACCGTCCACTCATCTGAGTCTGTTGATCACCGCAGCTTTTAACGCATCCTATAGTCCAAAAGGCCACAAATAATGCTATAAGTGCCATGGAGAGGTTCAAGTGAATCATTGTGTCCAGTGCTCTGTGTGCGCTTACAGGTTTTTATATCGGTGGCTGACGTCAGCATGACAGAGAGTGTGACTGTGTAGTCAGGAAGTGAAAGACCACTAGTAAATGTAGATCACTTCACGAACACGCTAAACTGAAAAGAAATTTGCTTAGTTCAACTTTTTTTTAACTGCTGTAAATTTACCAGATTACTTGCTATTATATTTTATTTTATTGTACAATTGAACTGGATAAAGCTGTACTTCTAAGCTTATCTACAGTGAAGCTGTTGGATTTATCCAAAGCAGACAACATTTAATGCTTGTTGTCACCTCTAATATAAATCTTTCGTCTAAGAGACTTTCCTGTAAAAGCATGTGTTGGAGGAGCTTGTTTTTGAACACATGCAAGAACGTCTCAAACACTCCTGAAATAATGTCACACTCTCACAAATGACAGGTGACAAATTTCATGTGACAGCCTCTTTGTGTTTATGACAGCTTCTTTCCTAGATGCCACTCCTCTGTGGT